CAAAAGAAACCAAGAGTTCGGCAAATATTTTTCTAAGCAGGAAAACTGTGGGTCATAACCAAAGAGCACTCTTTTAAAAAATAAAAAATAAGTTATTTAAAAATAACGTTAATCCAATCTTTTATTTATCTCTTCATTTCTTGAGCAGACTAAGGCTTTGGAAGGAAAAATGGTTCATATAGGGTCATACATCAAGTTAATGACTTGAGTCAGGCAAGAACTCAAATCCCCTGACACCTGGCATAGTATTATTCTAGCAGTATTATTAATACCGCTTTAAGACATGAAATGGAAATTTTATTAGATCAGGTGTTTTCATTTAAAGCACAAAAGCAAATTAATTTTTTTCATAGAAAACAGATAGACATATGTTTAGCCATACAGCCATGTACAGTGAGTTGAAATTCTTTAGTTTTTATCTTCATAATACCAACATGGACTCCATAAAAGTGCTTCAAACTTTAGAAAAATCCCCTTTAGTCTCACAGTTTAAGAGTTTCAAGCACAAAATGCCTGGTAACTCACCTCATTCTTTTGCCAAAAATAAAGCACAGCAACTATCCTCTGATTCTGACCTTCTAGAGTAGTGTACTCCTTCCTACCAGACTCATTCTTCGGTAGTACAGTCTGCAAACACTCCTATCCTTTCCTTTGTCTTTATCAGACCTTTGCATTATAACAGCAGGATGTTTCAAAAACTGAAAATGTTTTGGGAGAGCATTTTGCTGTCTACACTGTATAACTTTGTTGTTGTTGTTATTAGGTGCCATCGAGTTGGTACCGTCTCAAAGAGACCTTATGCACAGCAGAACGAAACACTGCCTGATCCTGGGCCAACCTCACTATCGTTGCCACGCTTGAGCCCATTGATGCTGCCACTTTGCCAATCCATCTCACTGGGGGTCTTCCCCTTTTTCTCTGACCCTCCACCCTCCCAAACATAATATCCTTCTCCAGCGACTGGTCTCTCCTGACAACATGTCCAAAGTGTGAGACACGAAGTTTGGCCATCCTGGCCTCCAAGGAGCACTCTTGCTACACTTCTTCTAACACAGATCTGTTGGTTCTTTTGGCAGCCCATGGCACTTTCAGTATTCTCCTCCAACACCATAAGTCAAAAGCATCAATTCTTTCACGGTCTTCTTTATTCACTGTCCAGCTTTCACATGCATATGAGGTTATTGAAAATACCATGGCTTGGGTCAGGTGTACCTTAGTCCTCAAGCTGACATCTTTGCTCTTCAACATTTTACAAAGGTCTTGTGCAGCAGATTTGCCTAAATGCAATATGTCGTTTGATTTCTTGACTGCTGCTTCCGTGAGTGTTGATGATTGATCCAAGAATGAAGTCATTGACAACTTCAATCTTTTCTCCATTGAATGTTATTGATTGGTCCATTGGTGAGGATTTTTGTTTTCTAGACATTGAGATGCAATCCATACAGAAGGCTGTGCTCTTTGATCTTCATCAATAAATATTTTAAGTCATACTGTGGTGTCTTGTGAGTTGCTGTGATTCTGAAAGTGATGCCACTGGTCTCCCATGGTGGACAGGTTTCAAATGAGCTTCCAGATGAAGACAGACTAGGAAGAAGGAGTGATGAACTACTTCCGAATATTTAGTCACTGAAAACCTTATGAATAGCAGAGAAACACTGTGTAACTTACAGCAGTAAAAATAGCTATTAAATTTTATGGATTTTTTTTACCAAGAAATTAAAATAATATTAGCATTTCTTCAGCATTAGTATATATGACAGAGGACTTCAAAGTCCCCCTGGAAGGTTTTTTACCAGATAGCCACACAAAATCTCTTGGGAGGGAGGAAGGGATTGTGCTCCCAGTTTTATACCAGGAATAAAAACTGAGACCAAAAATGTCCTGGTGTGGCACTGAAGGATCAGCACTGGATGTTAGCAGTTCAGAGCCACAAGTTGGTCCTCAGAAACCCTATACAGGGTCGCTATGAGTCAGAACCAACTGGACGGAACTCAACAACAAACAACAAAGGAAGATCAAGGCAACTGTCGAGGCTTTAAATTAATAAAATATAAAATGTTGGCATTTAGGAAATCGAGATGAAGGTTAGATGAAGCTTCTTTATACACATTTTGCAGCATTTTTAATGTAAGCTTGAAATTATTTAAAAATGAGACAAAATTAAAATATTAATAAAGCAGAGGAAAACACTGGTCACTAAGACAAACAGCTCATGAAACCGACTTCCCAGTACTTATTTGATGTCTCTGTCAGTCTCTAAGGATACGTAAGTTTCTGCTGCCTAATCTGAAAAGCACATCATTAGAGAGACTCGGCTGTCAATGAATGCTGCTTATATATAGGGACTGCTCTCTCCCATGTCCCCCTAGGCGCAGTGATCCAGCAGGCCGGCCTCACTCTTGGCATTCAACCAAATTTAGGGAGAACCAACCCGATGCCAGCATGATGCAAATATCCCAGGGCACGATTGGTACTCCCTGGCACCAAAGCTACCATTCCAGGTAAGTGGCACAGTTGAGACTGAAGAGTTGGTTTCGGTCAAATATTGTGTTCCCAGAGAGAAATGCTATCTTCTCTGTTTTTTAATGTAATCATTTCTTAAATGATTTCTTTGATCTCTCTACCTTACTTTCTCCCTTCTTCATTTTCTGAAAACTCCTAATATGTTTATGAGCCATCTTCAAATCCTGGGGTAGATCCGTATGAAGAGAGATCAGAATTATTTTGAACCCTGGCTGGTCATTTAAGATATTTGTGGGAATCCATCCATTCCTAAAATCACTAGATTATATATTTTTAAGTGGTGAGTTTTAATGGTATTGAATTACATCTCAATTGTGTTATTTTTTTTTAATTAAGAGGCATAGCTAAGCATTGCTGAAAGAGAAATTTATAGCATTAAATGTTTAAATTAAAAGAAAAAAAAAAAAAGATTTAAAAGTCAATGACCTAAATTAGGGGTTGGGAGATTTTTCTGTGAAGGATCAGGTAGTAAATACTATAGCCTTTACGGGTCACACAACTTTTATTATAATTATCCACTACGCTGTTGTAGCAGGCCAACAGCCATAGATGGTACAGATCCAAATGAGTGTACTTGTGTTCCAATAAGACTTTATTTACAAACAGAGATGGTTGATCACATTTGGTCCTTTGGCTGTAGTTTGCCCTGCTTTAATTATTTTGTTCCAGCAGCCCCACAGTACTCCATTGGAAAAACTGAATCCAAATGAGATTAAATAAAAATAATAACCAAGTCATTATTCTTGTATTCTGATAAATATATGTGTAACAAAGAATTTGAAATTGTAATGATCTTCATGTGTACATTTCAGTGACATTAATTATGTTCATCATGTTCTTCAACCATCACCGTCATCCATTCCCAAATTTTCCCTCTGCATATCAGAGATGTAGCTCAGTGTTTCTTAAACTGCAACTCTTCCCTTCTCTCCCCCTCCCTCCTGCATCTGTTGTTAAATGCTATAGTGTCGATTCTGACTTTATAGCGACCTTATAAGTGTAGGGTTTCCAAGGATCAGCTGTTGGATTTGAACTGCCAACCTTTTGATTAGTAGTCCAGTGCTTATCCTAGTGCCACACCAGGACTCCTCCCTCTATTGTCCACTAATAAACTGTGGTCTCTATCACTGGCCTATTCTAGATAGTTCATTTAAGTGGGGATCATACAGTACTTGACCTTTTGTGGACAATTTATTTCATTGAGCATAAAATTTCCAAGGTTCATCATGTGGTAGCATGTATCAGGAATGCCCAAGTTACTATTATCACAGAGATAGGGGACTCTGGCCTTTTCTACCAGACTCTACATATGGGAAACATTACTTCCCAACTGAGTCAAGGACTTAGCAGGCAAGGCTTAGTTACACAAAGTAACTCATCAGACTGGTCTAGAATTTTCTTGATGCTAAGGTGCTAGCCACTGAGTTTGCTGCCCTCTGTTTGGCAGTTTCAGTAAATGTCAACTTCCCAAAGAGAAGCAACGCAGCCCAGGTCCCTAGCAAGACATAATGCTGGAATGGATGTGGTAGAGAGTAAAGCATGTGAGGGGAGACCAAACTTCAGACTAAGGAATATCACCTCTCAAGAATAAATATGAGGATAGGACTTGAAGCAGGAAGGTCGGGCTCTGTGGAAAATCTAATGACTTTCACAGCCTGAAGCATTTAATTACTTACTGACAGCCCTTGGCCAGGGAGTTCAGCAGGGGATTTCTGAAGGTTGAACACTGTTTTCTTAGGGGGGTGCGTGGGGGGGGGAGGAGTGTGTGATTCAAGGAAGAATTTAGTTAGCATCTTACTCTAAACCCTTGTTACATCCAAAAGCAGCCCATAAAAATCCATTTATGAATCACAAGTTCAAACCTGAGCTCCCCCCTCCCCCACCCCATCACCCTCCATCAGACTTATTAATGAGAGAACCAAATTAGGGCTCCTCAAGACTGACTTCAAACTTGGAACCCACACAAACTGGAATGTATTCCTTCATCCCAGAAAGCCAGATTCCACCATCTGCCACTCTTTGGAAGTGCTTGGGTAGGGAAAATGACAAGGAGATGGGAGGGTCAAGAGAATGTAAGTTGCTTAAGCCTCCACATATGAAAGAGGATGCCAATGCTGGGATGTGTGTATTGTGGGGTTGGGGGCCACTTCTGAAAGAATTCCTTAACTAACAGGTGACGGCAACACATTTGGCAAGGACAAAACTCACTCGATTATGTTTGATCAAGGCAAGGATCAAATTGGTTCACTGATAGATGATGATTCATAGACTTGAAGAGGATGAACCTCTTCAGCACATTAGGGTCGACTTCACACCACAGAAGAGATGCTTTCTCCATTACCCTCCTTCCTACAAACACCCCTTTCCCTTGCCCGTGTCCCTCCCAGTAATCTTGGAAGAACTTTGTCTGACCTCTGCCCTCAGAAGGCAGGTCTGTTAAAATAGCAGTGCCCCATACCCACAGTGTATTTGATTTATGGATCTGGAGGCATAGAGGGCTGTTATAAGGTAAAAGGGTATATAAGTTGTAAGGAGCCTAACAGTGTGAAGGAAGAAAAGCTTAGGAATAAAATACTTGACCTTTTAAGTCAGACCTGGGTTTAAATCTCAACTCTACCACCTACTATATGAGCTTGAACAAATCATTGAATGAATCTCTTGGGGCTTGGCTTCCTCATCTGTAATGAAATTAATAATACTAAATAATAATATTAAAAAATTAATAATATACATTTCATTGGAATGTTGTGAGGATTAAATAAGATAACATATATAAAACTATGTGGTTCCTGGTACATTGTTGTTGTTAAGTGCCGTCAAGTGGGTTCATTTACTAAACATTTACTAACATTTACTAAATGCAATTAATTATAATGATCAGGCTGAAGACTTATCAGAGGCGTAGTGAAACCCGGTAATGAGCTTTAAGGTAATTGCATAAACGAGCACAACAGTATGAAAATGCAAGTTTGTATCAGTAGAGTGTCTCTGAACAGTGAGTGGGTCCTTGAGGTGCCTCCTAACTTAGGAAGATAGATGGATGGATGAATGGGTAGAGAGATAGAAAGATATATATGTATATAGAGAGAGTGATATTTGTTATTGTTGTTGAGTGCCATCAAGTTGTTTCTGAACCATAGTGGCCCTGTATAGGATTTCCTAAGAGCGGCTGGTGAGCTTGAACTGCTGAACATGCGGTTCAAACTGACTTTGCTGTTCAGCACATTAACCCACAGTGCCATACCAGGACTCCATAGATAGATAGATAGATAGATTGTTGTTGTTGTTAGGTGCCATCGAGTTGGTACCAACCCATAGCAACCTTATGCACAGCAGAACAAAACACTGCCTGATCCTGTGCCAACCTCACTACTGTTGCCACGTTTGAGTCTATCAATGCTGCTATTTGGCCAATCCATCTTGTTGGGGCTCTTCCTCTTTTTCTCTGACCCTCCACCTTACCAAACATGATATCCTTCTCCAGTGACTGGTCCCTCCTGACAATATGTCCAAAGTATGAGAGACGAAGTTTAGCCATCTTGGCCTCCAAGGAGCACTCTGGCTGTACTTCTTCCAAAACGGATCTATTGGTTCTTTTGGCAGTCCATGGTACTTTCAGATAGATAGATACTTGTCATCAAATCAATTCCAAATCTCTTGTCAGCCTTATGTACAACAGAAAGAAATGTCACCTGGTCCTGTGTCATCCTCAGGATTGCCAGCATATTCAATCTATCTTTGTAGCTGTTGTGCCAATTCATCACACCAACAATCTCCCTCGCCGTCACTGACCCTTCACTTCGTCCTTCTCCAGCAGTGGAACCCTCCTGATGACATGCCCAAACCAAGCTAGTTGGACAGTGTCTGTTGTAATCCATAAAGTTCCATTGGCTGATTTTTGGAAGTAGATCATCAGGTCTGTCTTGCTCATCTGTCTTAGTCTGAAAGCCCTGATGAAACCTGCCTACCACGGGTGACCCTGCAGGTATTTGAAATACCAGTGACATAGTATCTAGTATCACAGCAACATGTAACCTACCACAATATAATAAACTGACAGACAGGTGGTGACTAACCTTCATTAAGTCTTAAATCATGCAGTGACTATCAAAATCCAGACCAGTCTTCAGGCAGAAATAAGACGACTGCAATTGGTGCTTAGAGTGACTGCTTTCAGTAACTATGGTGCCCTCCAGGAGGTCTCAGGGGAATGGTGGAATTGACACTGAGTAGTACAATATATTGAAGATGGAGGAGAATATTGAATGTACCATGAGCTGCCAAAAGAACCAATAGATCTGTGCTGGAAGACGTGCAGCCAGAGTGCTCCTTGGAGGCCAGGATGGCCAAACTTTGTCTCTCATATGTCGTACATATTGTCAGGAGGGACCAGTTGCTGGAAAAGGATATCATGTTTGGTAAGGTGGAGGGTCAGAGAAAAAGAGGAAGACCCCCAGCGAGATGGGTTGACAAAGTGGCAGCATCAGTGGGCTCAAGTGTGGCAACAAGTGTGAGGTTGGCCCAGGATCGGGCAGTGTTTCATTTTGTTGTGCATAGGGTCGCTATGAGTCAGTACCAACTCGATGGCACCTAACAACAACAATAATCCTCTCTACTTCCTATTTCCTTCTCCACATCCTGAACTCCACAAGAGTTTAGGCAGGTGGATCTGTCCATGTACTGTGTGCACCACCTCTATCCCTCTAATTCAAGCTTCAAAATAACTCCTTTGGACAAAAGTTAGCACAAAAGTACTGTGTTGTGTGCAAATGAAGAAAAGAAAGCTCAGATTGCTCCAAATGTTACAGAAATGTGAATTTTCTCCCACCCCGACACAAATCATCCAGTTCCCCATCCATTTCATGTCGCAGCTGCAGATAGAAAAGCACCCCAAGTGTGTTTCTGAGGAGCACGGTGGCATCTAGTGGTCTAGCGTGCTGAATCAACTGGCTGGTATCCCTCTGCTGGGCTTTGGTTAGTTCTAAGAACCCAATTTTAGTTCTCAACTTGTGAATATGTTTTTCGTTAAGAAGCAGGTAAATGAGGTAGCTGGATGGGGGAAGGGCAGGAATGATGAGAGCAGTCCAAAGGTACTGAAGGTGTATTCTAACTATCTGCAGGTTGGTTTGGAGTTGGAATTCCACTGACATTTTATTTCAGCTACGTTCCCTCAGACTCTTGTCATTATCTTTTTGCTTCCTACAGTAATCTCACACAGTGGTCCTAAAGTATTAAAATACTTAAGAAGAGACCTTGAGCGGCATATGGTCCAGACCCTGAAAAAAATTTTTGAAGTCACAGTATGGAAATACTAAAGTACCAGTACTTATTCATGAAACAATATGTATTGACTACCATTATTGGACTGTGAACTATAAACTTCAAACCCACCAGCTACTCCTCGGAAACCCTACAGGGGATCACTATGAATCAGAACTGACTCGATGGTACTTAACACCACCACCACCCAGTGTATGTTAGGTGATTTATAGGTTTTGGAAACAAAGTGGTGATCAAGACATAAAACAATAGTTTATTGAAAACTCAGAAGCTTGCAGTTAATAAACTTATTAAGCCTAATATTTGATCATCAGAGTAGTAAATGTTCTAGGGTACACTTTCAGAAGTATTTTCGTATACTTTGTGCTCTTTACTGTTTTCAGTATTCAAAAACTATAGTTAAACACATATAAATAGAGTAATGTCACAAGCATATATGTACCTATCATGGAATTAATGTTTTGTCATATTGGTTTCTGATCTTTTTGTATTTTATTAATAATCATTGAAGATAGAATTGAAGTCTCTGTCATGTAACCAAAGGGATATGGTGTAATGCCAAGCAGTGGCAAGCCCTATGAAGAAAATAGAGCAGAGTAAGAGATAAGGAGTGGGGGAGAAGAGTTGCCTCTTAGATACTGAGTTCCAAGAAGTCCTCTTTGGAGCCAAGACCTGAATAAAGGAAGGGAGTCATTCAAGTGATTCAAAGGCCCTGAGACACTTAAGATGGGATTATATTTCATGTGCTTGCATTACAGCAAGGAGACCATTATGCTACAGTGCAGTGGTCAAGGAGAACGGTGGGAAATGAGGTTGGAGAAGTAGACAGACCATTGTATGAACGTTAGCATCTCTAAGGTACGTTCATCTTGATAGGAAGGCTGACCCTATGGGTTAGAGAATGAAGACTTCTATTCCAGCTTGTTTTCACCCATCATTAAAAGTGATGCCTTGGTAATTGAAATGACTATTTCCAGAAAATGGCAGAAGAACTGTTCCTAGAGGGTGGTGTCAGGGCCCCGATTCCCTAGCAGATCTGCCTGTGTGCTGTACCCATGAGAGGAGAGCCCATGCCAAGTCCTCCTAAATATACCAGGAAGTTACATCTAAGCGATGGTGTCCCAGCACACATGAGCCTCTTGTGATTAGGTCTACTTATAAAGCTTTCTTCTCTCTCTCTCTCTCTCTCTCTCTCTCTTTTTCTTGTCAGTCTTTTCTGCCTCTGTCTGCTTTCTCTCTGTGTATTTCTCTCATTCAGCTTTGTGTTTGGCTTTCTCATCACAAACAAATTGTCTCTAATACAGTTGAGATTCCAGGAAGATTGCCAGGGCGTAGCCTCCAATTCCATAAAAAGGAAAGATATTAGCTAAAAACATATACATATGCACAGTGTTCTCTGCCCCATCCTGTGCCTGTTCTTATTAAACTTTTCCCCTTCATCCCTCTAATAGCCTTAAGAAACACGAAATTCTATCTCAGTCACTAGTCCTCCATTTCTCTTCTTTCCTCCCCCACCTCTGTCTTCTCTTGGCACAAGCATAATGTCATTTCAAGCACATAGCAAATCACATCAGTGCACTGTCCCATGGCTTCCTCGATGCACCCTGTTCCTCTCCTTCCAAGCCCGGATGATTAATAAGAGGCACATAGGTTACAGTGTTGGACAATTACTCCTGGTGATGACACACACAGTGGCTGAACAAGGCCCAAATATGGTCCTTTTAACCCACCCTTAAAAAAACCAAAACATCTTGCATACGAGCACATTTATAAGCTGGGTTCTGTGCTTGTAAGCCCTGCCAGATGATAACTTCTCAGTGTGCTAACTGCTTTGTCTCACATTCTTCCAGCTCCTCTACAAGTGACCTCTCCAACTATGACCATGCTTATCTGAGGAGGAGTCCTGACCAGTGCAGTTCCCAGGGGAGCATGGAGAGCTTGGACCCCAGTACGGGATACCCGCCCTGCCATCTTCTTTCTCCTGCCAAGTCCACCAGTAGCATTGACCAGCTCAGTCACCTGCATAACAAGAGAGACTCTGCTTACAGCTCCTTCTCCACCAGTTCTAGCATCCTAGAGTATCCGCCTCCTGGCATCGCCACTCGGGAACGCTCAGGCTCCATAGATACCACTTCTGCTCGAGGTGGCCTCCTGGAAGGAATGAGGCAAGCAGACATTCGCTATGTGAAGACAGTCTATGATACTCGGAGGGGAGTGTCAGAAGAGTATGAGGTAAACTCTTCAGCCCTGCTTCTTCAAGGTAGGGAGGCCCGAGCATCCGTAGGTCAGAGCTCTGATAAGTGCCATAATGTTTCTCGGGGCAAGGGAGTGCCTCCCCCATCTTGGAACCAGCAGTGTCCCCGTTCTTTGGAGACTGCCGCTGACAACCCACCTCCTAAGGTGGGTGCACCGCTGCCTCCAGCTCGGAGTGACAGTTATACAGCCATCCGGCACCGTGAGAGGCCCAGCTCCTGGTCTAGCCTTGATCAGAAACGTTTCTGCAGGCCTCAGGCAAGCTTGTCAGGCGCCCTGAAGTCTTCCTTCCTAGAGGAACAGCTACATACGGTACTAGAGAAAAGTCCAGAGAGCAGCCCCCCAGTGAAGCCCAAGCATAACTATATCCAGAAGGCACAACCAGGCCAGCCTCTGCTCCCGACTGGCATCTACCCTGTACCTTCTGTGGAGCCACACTTTGCCCAGATACCCCAGCCTTCCATGAACAGTAATGGTATGCTCTACCCTGCACTGGCCAAGGAAAGTGGATATACAGCCCCTCCGCCTGCTTGTGACAAGATGGTTACCTTTGATGAGAATGGGAACCAAAATGGGTCTAGCAGGCCTGGGTTTGCCTTCTACCAGCCTCTGGAACATGATTCTGTGTCCCTGGTGGAGAGGAAATCAGAAACTACAGCCAAGTTTGTCCCCTACAAAGTTCATTTCTCATCAGTGCCTGAAAATGAGGAGGATACCTCCCTGAGGAGACATCTTGCATCTCCCCAAGGCAACAGCCCACATCCCAGTGAAAGAAAGATCACCCATAGCAACAAATCATATTCTAATCACCACAGCCTCAAACCACCCCAGGCTCCGGCTTGGCAAGCAGAAGACAAGAGATCTGGTAGGCTCTCAGAACCTTGGGAGGTGGATTTCCGGGAAGACCACAATGCCAACCTCCAGAGGAGGCAGGAGAGAGAAGGCCAAAGCCTGTCAAGAAACTTTGAAAAGACCAAGTCAGCGTTCTCATCTCTCCAAAACATTCCAGAGAGTCTAAGAAGGCAAAGTAGCCTAGAGCTAGGAGGGAGATCTCAGGAGGGCTACCCAGATGACAAACCAGCTGCTATAGTCAACACCAAGGATGAGGACGCTGGAAGGAAAGTTGGTCTTGACCACACGAGTCATCTGGACAGGACAGTTTCCTATCCAAGACCTGAGGGGAGAACTTGCATATCAGCCTCTTTCCACAGTTCAGACCCAAGGTGTGAAGAACCCTCCTCCCCATCACACCAGCAGACTTCCAGTCTGGGCAGGAGACAGCTCAGCTCTGGCATGGCCTCGTCTCTGCAGGGCTTTCAGTACAGGAAGCCTTGCTCTGTGTTGGAGAAGGTTTCCAAAATCGAGCAGCGAGAGCAAGGGAGCCAGAGATCCTTAAGTGTAGGCTGCTCCAGTTATGGCCATACATACAGACCTAACAGGACAGTCTCAACTTCCAGCACCTCTGGAAATGAACTTGAGGAGGCAAGAGCCAATATCCGGTTTTCTGAATCCATCAATCCTCTAGGCAATGGGAAGCAGCACTTCAAAAACGGAGAAACAAAGTTGGAAGAGGTTTCCTGGCAACCATGTGATCAGCAGCTGACCAGGGGTGCTGATGGCACCTGTGGACCCCCACTCCGAGGCAGTGATCCTCCTAGGCGGGATGCCCGCCTCCTCCGCAGCCAGAGCACATTTCAGCTCCTAAGCGAGGTTGATAAAGAGGCTGTGTGGTCAGATGACAGGTCTGACACTCCCGAGTCGCCCCCGCTGGACGCCCCCTTCAGCCGAGCCTACCGGAACAGCATCAAGGACGCACAGTCCCGTGTCCTGGGAGCCACCTCCTTTCGACGGAAGGACCTCGAACTGGGGGCATCCGGGGCATCCAGGCCCTGGCGGCCCCGACCCGCCTCTGCCCACGTGGCACTGCGGAGCCCCGAGGCGCCATCGGTGACCTCACCATCCCCACATACGCCCCGTGAGCGGCACAGTGTGACCCCAGTGGCGGGTGAACCAGCCCAGCCTGTGCCCTCCACTGCCCGCAGAGGTGCACGCCGGCGCCTGACCACGGAGCAGAAGAAGCTATCCTACTCGGAGCCCGAGAAGATGAACGAGGTAGGCATTTCCGAGGAGGTGGAACCAACGCCCTTGGGCTTGCAGAGGAAGGCTCTGCGTTTTCCGGAGACCACCGTGGCGGATCGACGCCGGATCTTTGAGCGCGACGGGAAGGCCTGCTCGACCCTTAGCCTCTCAGGACCAGAGCTGAAGCAGTTCCAGCAGAGCGCCCTGGCCGATTACATTCAGCGCAAGACCGGCAAGCGGCCCTCGTCATCCTCAGGCTTCGGCTTCCAGGAGCTCAGATCCCGCACCCAGAGCTCCTATCTCCAGCCCGGGCCCGAAGGCCCTGGCCTCACCGCGGCCTCCAGCCTTAGCTCGCTGGGGGAGCCGAACCTGCAGCCACGCAGAGAGGCCGCCCTGCCAGCCGCAGCGCCGGTGACTGCGGGAGAGCCCCCGCGGACCCCTCGGAATCGCAGCAGCTCCTTTGTCAGCGGTCGCCTTCTCTGGGAACAGCGACAAGGGGACCACCAGGCCCCAAGGGAGCCAGCCAGGGCCGAGCTGCACGGTGGAGCTAACTGTGGACATCGGGGTCCCCAGAGGGTGGACAGGACCCCTGGAGAGCTGTCCTGGGGAACCAAAGCTGGGAGGACGGAAAAATCCAAGTCAGCGGAGGACCTGCTAGAGCGCTCGGAAGTCCTGACCGTCCCTGTGCATGTGAGATCCAGGTCATCTCCCATTGCAGACAAAATGTGCCAGGTATGTGCAGCTGCTCCCTGTGTCCTGGCCCTGCATGGAAGCTATAGCATTACTCTCTTCCCTCTTCCTGCCCAACCTCCCTTCCCGCCCTGTCTTCCTTTTAGATAAGAAAAGTTGCAGTTTATTTTCTTGAGGTGATTTCTTAGCACATCAACCTACTTCGCTATGTAAGAATCCATGGTCAGGAAAAGTTAGGGATTGTCTAGTTTTGTTTTTAGTGTGTATATATTATATATTTTTAAGACGCCTTGGTGGTGCTCAAGCGTAAGCACTGGACTGTAAACCACAAGTTCAGGAATTCACATGTATCAGCTGCACCACAGGAAAAAGATGAGACTTTGTGCTACTGTAAAGATTTGCAACCTCAGAACAGTATACAAGGTCACTATGAGTCAGAATTAACTTGCTGACACTGAGTTCGGTTTATTTATATTTTATCCTTATTTTAGGATGTCACCTACCTCTCAGTGCAAGGTTGTATGATTAAGAAAATTTAGGGATTTTCTTGTTTTTGTTTTAGTTCATGGATTAGAGCCCATGACCAGTATTTTTAAACTACAAGCTTTGTACTCTGTGTTTCTGTTGGACTTTTGCATTTACAAAGTAACTGTAGTTGTTAATGTTGATGTTGTTGTTATGTGCCATCGGATCGGTTCCAACTCATAGTGACCCTGTATAGGGTTTCCGAGGAGCAGCTGGTGAGTTTGAACCACCTACCCTGCAGTTCGAATTGCCCTTGAGTACTTACCCTATGGTGCCATACTCTGGGATGATAGTTATTGGATATTGAGTTCCTGCTGCATGTCAGGGTCTCAGCTAAGGATGCTTTCCATGCATTTATCACATTTAAGTCTCAACAATAGAAGATTAAGTCCCAACTTCCATCTGAGCTCTTTTTATACATTATCCTGGTAAGACAGGAAAATCAGAATTTCAAATTCTCACATAACATAATTGTCTAGTAAAAGCTCTGAATGATACCAAGATTATGAAGAACTTTACGTTGGAAATTTTCAACAGAGCTCTTAATAGAACCAGAGCATCCTGACTTCCAAAAATCTATTCATTTCCCTACCTGATTCTGAGTTCCATCCTCAGACTCCCTTTCACTGCGTATCAGTGATGGGTTACCCTTCCCACCTATGAGATATTAGGAATTTGCATATATGCTGGCCCAGGGGAGAACACCCCCTGCATTGCCTCTCTTCTAGGTCTGCTATTTACCCCGACAGAGAATCCAATCATTCACCAAGCCCTTATAGAACAGAGATTTTATGAAATGGACCATTAACAGATTGAAGGAAACTTCGAAGATGAAAATAAGGAGTTCACAGTTAATCAGGAAAAATGAAAAAAAAAAAAAAAAAAATATATATATATATATATATATATATATATGTTTCCACGTGACTTATTATGCTAAATAATACGCTATTACGCCGTGAGAGGAAAAGTGATTAATTCTAACTGGAGAGATTTAGAGGGCTCTTCTTGAAGGAGATGGGATTTGAACCAGGCTGTAAAAGATAGATGGAATGTGGAGCAATATGATTGTGTGGGGGATGTGGGAGAGGCATCATTAGTGAGGAAATAGTTTAAGGTTAAGCAAAATTCAGTATCTGCACACACATACACACACAGTCTTTTGAGAGAAAATACTAGGGGGCTACAAAAAGTTCATGGGAAAATGGAATCTTAAATTTTTCCATGTACTTTTTGAAGCCCCCTTATACTGCTCCTGCCCAGAAATGATCTGCCCAGTGTTGCCCCAAACCATTTTCTCTCCAGCATAAGCCCACAAAAATTTATAAAGGCAGCCCTCCCTAAGCCTTCAATCACCTTATTCCTCCCCACAGAAGAACAGATCTTATTCCACCACTGAAATTCTAACCCATTCCATATTCTACCACAAAAATGCTTTTACAACCCATAAATGTAACATGCAGTTTCAGTTTGGACTTCAGGCTTACTGCCTAGCTATCCAAATCTTTTCTGTTTTTCTTTCCTTGTGTTTTAAAGAGATTGGAAATGTTTATGTGAAAACCAAATCATCTATTATTTATTTCCCACTAAATGGCATTATTGTCTGGTGGGGAATTGGTTGGATATCCATGAATATTATTTTGCTATCCCATAGAAATATTTCTCAAGCCTGCTCAGCTGAAAAATAGAGCCCAAACATAGGTGTTGTAGAGAAGTAAAAAGATTTCTTTAAATACCAGTTAAAGACTTAATATTAGCTCCAGAACTTTTTAGAAAGACAAGTGAATATAGAACCGTTCGTGCTGCTTTGAGTTAATGCTCTGGACTGCAAAGTCCCTTTGAACGGACAGTTAGCAGTTCATTCTCACCAGCCAGTCCTCAGAAACCCTTTATGTAGGGTTGCTGTGCGTCAGAAACGACTCAGCAGCACTTAACAACAACTTCAATAAAAGGAGTACCGTATTTAGGTATTACTTAATTTGGGGAATATGAAGCCAGAGGGAAAAGAATATTTCAAAAGGAGAGACTTTTCCTGAGGTGCTCTGCTCCAACAGATTCTGAAAATAGATTATCATTCTCCAGGTTATAACTGTGCCAGGACTGTGTTAAGCGTCTTCCGTTCTTCAGCCCCAGCAACTAACTACATTTTTCCTGACTAGAGACTTGGCTGGTCTGCTCAAGTCTGCTCCTCGTATCTTTTTCATAGATGTATTATCTGCCTTCTTTGTCAAACCAGTTCAGAACAAAACTTGTCTCCCACATAATGATTCTGGTTATTAGTTCAGCACACTATATATTCTGGTTTTTTACTTAAATTCCAAAAACATTACCATTATCAGTATACATTTATGAAGGTGTTAATGAAGGATGTTTCTCGTGCTGACTTTCGAGAACTTCTAAAAATCAAGTGACCTTGTAGAGGCCATTTATCTAAGCGAAAACAGCCAGAGAGAATGTGTATCTCTGGTGCTGGCTTATCGTGGCATCTCTGGTAAATGCTTCTTGCTCTTGCCAATTACATGCTGAGAGCCCTTTTCTAAAGACTGTTAGTTAGGACAGTTTCTGCCTCCAAAATAAGTTCAAGTAGATCAACTCTGTGTATGAAAATTGATCAATCACAAGCCTGAATTAATAACTGCAGAAGGCTTATCCCCCACTCCATCCCCTTTCCACTCCACCAGATACCCCAGTGAGATCACATCTCCTCTCCCCTCCTGGACAGGGAAATACTACGCATTTTAAGCTTCTTTTCTATGTGAATATGGGGGCTACTCGCAAGTTTGGTTTGAACTGCAAGGTTGGTGGTTCCAACCCCCCAGCCACTCTTGGAAACCCAATGCAGGATTGCTTCTCTGGACTCGACGGCGCTTAACAGCACCAACAAACGGGGTCCACTAGTCAGGGACCCAGAAGTTCATTATTGCCAGGTAGGTGTTGCTAATATGCAAAGTAGTCTGATAGAGTTTATATTATTATTGTAAATGGGAAGTGTGAGATAAGGAGGTAATAGATTGTGAAGAGTAGATGTAGTATCTAGTTCAAACCTACCAGCTGCTCCTCAGAAACCCTATACAGGGGTCACTATGAGTCGGCTCCGACTCGCTGGCACTTAAAAACAACAAATGTTAATTAGAAATTCATTTGAAAAAAATCTTAAAATGGTGTTTAAGTGAAAATAGTAGTTATCAATAAAAGTTAGTATGAACTCAACCTATTGACTCATGAAGTTTTCAAATGAAAGCTATTTACTTGCCTCTCTCCCCGTCCTCACTCCATCACCCTTGGTTGTTTGTTTTTAATTCAAGGAGGTAATACGATACAGTGACTTAAAAAACTCTGGAGTCAAATCCTTTTACTATCTTGGCTATATGTCTGACCCTCTTTGTGCCTTACTTCTCTCATTTATCATTTATAATCCCATCTGTCGCTGTGCATGTTGTTGTTGTTAGTGTCAAGTCAGTTCTGACTCATAGTGATCCTGTATAGGGTTTCTGAAGAGCGGCTGGTGGGTTTGAACCACTGACTTTGCAGTTAGCGGCAGTCCAGTGATTATTCTATAGCACCACACTGAGACTCCAGTAGGTGCAAGGGTCAATTTTATACTTGGAGTCCTGGTGTAGCACTGTGGGTTAATGTGCTGGACTGCATAGTTGGTTTGAACCACAAGGTCGCAGATTCATGCTCACCAGCTGCTCCTTGGGAACATTATACAGGGTTGCTATGAGTCGGAACTGACTCGATGGCACTTAGCAACAACAACAAAGCAATACAATGACTAGCACATGCTAAATTTCTTATCTTATCATTAGCTAGTCGTAATGTCACATTTTAAAGGTGATTTTGTTACTTAGGTCCAAACTTGAATGGGGTGCCTACTGAGAGGTGTGAAAGTGGATTTATTTACGAGTTGCATCCTGCAGAATTAAGTCTACACTCAACTTTGTGGTTTCGTGAATTAAGCAATTTCCATAGCAATTAAATAATGGCTGACGTATCATCAAATGATGAATGAAAGTCCCTAAAAATACACTGAGAAACAGAGAAACTGCTAACTCTTCTTGGGCAGGAGAGGGCAGTGAGGTGGAGGGGGCAGTCTCAAAAGTTCTACAAAGGGTTTTCTTTTTATAGCCTCTGCTGGATTTTAGAGCTACACAGTGACTAGGTCTAAATTTCCATTTGTAAAGCAGAAAGGTTGGGACATTCCTTGCAACAGTGAATCATTCACTTTAAAATGATAAGTTTTCCAAGGTCTCAGAAAGTATGGCAAGAATTTGACATGTTCTTAAGCACCACCACTAATATCTATTTGTTCTGCAATTACCCCTGTAAATGAAGAGGACTTAAAAGAGAAGAAATGGAGACTACGTGTTTCAGAGAAATGCAAAGATCGGCAGTTCAAACTCACCAGCCACTCCTCAGAAACCCTATACGGGGTCGGTATGAGTTGGATCTGACTTGATGACACTTAACAACAATTTGGTTATCTCAGAAAACCAACTTATATTTATTACTATTAC